ATTAAAGGCTATGTGTGGAATACAAACTGATCCATGAATACTTTGTAGTTGAAAATTAAAAAAAAATGGTGATAGAAATGTCTTTAAGCCTTAATTACCAAATGTTCTGCTTAGCTGTCATTAAAATTGTATACAAGATTATTTATTTGTGATTACAACAGTTAATTAGTCAAATTACTCAATTATACAAACAACTTTAGATCATATAAAAGATCTGTTCTAAATGTTTAAGAAAGACTTAAAAATATTAAATGGATCTAGATGGAACACTGACTAACTGACGTTCCATTTATGTTTAACTGTTACTGAAACAAATGGAACATCAGATTCAAAATCCAGAGACTATTAGTTATATTCTCTTACTAAAGGTACTTTCATCCTTAATAAAACAATGTAGTTAACTACATGCCAATAAGTGAATCAATATCATTCACCTTTTTATTTTCACAAATTATATCCAATCTCTTCTTACAAGTTCACTTCAGTTGACTGAGCTGACTGAGTTGATTTAATGGTCTTTTTTTATTATGACACTTGACAGTATCATCTGTTAGTTTTCTTAAAATTAACCATTTGGCCATGATCAAAATTTTGATTATTACCCTGAAGAAGTCGAGACAAGTTAGTTGGACGAAATGTTGAAATTATTTTAAATTTCAATCGGTGAGATAATTTCAAATATAATTTTCACATATAATGACTTCTCTATACTTGGCACCCAATTTTTGTCAAACTATTCATTCTAATCTTGATAAATATTCGCATAAATTAACTATTTGGCGCTTAATTAATTTATCACTTTACATCTATTTAACATAGAAATCTACATTCATTTAAAGAATTTTTAATATTCTAAGAAAACGAACTCACTTTTCAGTAGTATAGTTATTAAAAATAGAAAGTATAACGTATAATTAGTCAAATAAGAGCACATTAAAAAAATAAAACTGTCCAAATGATAATTAATTTTCATATGTCATTAAGTGTTTATTTTAGTTAATGATCATCCAATCAGATTCACTACTTTTTAAATTTGAAATAAACACCCAATGAAAATTAACATTTTGATGAACAATTTTCACTGAACTAACTTTTAGTCATTTGAAATAATCTATTTCAACTCAGTGGTTTAGAGATTAAGCGTTCACGCTCCAAACCGGAGGTCCTTGGTTTGAGTCCCACATGCAGGATCATAGATGCGTATTGTTAAGGAGTCCAATACTAGGTCAAGACGGCCATTCAGTGCGTACAGATTACCAATGGTGGTCTAGCCTACATCGGTTCATGAATTCAACTACTGAAATAGTAATGTTTGATAAAAAGGAATCACAATGTAATGAAAGATTAATAATGGAAGTAAGAGCTGACTAATTAAAAGTACATACATACCAACGCAAAATAATGAGTAACAACCACTACGATCTATTTACTGGTGTAACTCGGCTTAAGAACAGTTTATCGTAAGGTAAATAAATTAGTATCGATCCAATTCATGTTCAGTGACTTTGATGCTGGCATATTCGGATAACAGAATTAGAAGAATCAATACTTCATCAATAATTGAGGCCACACACTATCGTAGTTCAGTCGGAGCTAATAGAAACCAAAAAAGATAGTTCCTGTCATCAAGATGATCAGTTCAGTAAATTACCAACGACATCACTACTGAAGGATCTAAAGGCAGGGTTAGACAGGTGTTTGGTGAACATCTAAGCTGCGACATTTCTCCAACTGATTTCAGTCAGTTAATGATAGAAAACTAGCCAGTCTGTCAAACTATAATCGTTTAGTGATTAGTGACCAATTTTAAAGTGGGTTGCCGATGTTTTATGAAATTTATATAAATGGTAGGATTCAATTATGCCGACAGTATGGTATATATATTCAATGACTTTGAACCGTTGTATTCTAACTCACTAGCATCAATATTATGATTCTAGAAACGGAAATTAAAGCTCTTAGTTTCTATCCTTGATGATATGAAGAATGTGAACTGCTATGATAGAATCTGAAATTATCATAAAATATGTGTGTTTGTTATCTTAATATGTTTCACCAAGAGATGTTAAGTCAGTGATGAGAAATAGGTAGCTAGTATTTACCGATCTCCGAAAAAAACCACTACAGGATTTGTTGGAATATTTAGTCCTATTAGCTTTTGGCATTGGATAATAATTCAAGTGTGTTTTTCATTCTAGTTCCTAAAAGTTAACTGATTACCTTGGAATTTCTAGTTACCGCTTACTATTGTAAATGAGGACTGTTCAATATAACTAATCAAAAATAAGTCATTTCAAATTTTCTATTCTCTAGACGATCAAGTGGTCCAGTTTTAGTCATTCAGTCCCTTATAATCTAGCTGTACATAAATTTTGATCTCGTTACTTATTTTGCATAAGTTTATTTGATTTGGTTGCTCGTCAGTCGTTGTCTAACCGTCTTGAATCCTTCCGGTTCGGCAAAGTTCCTAATAGGAGGCACCGGTAATGACGATCTTTAACTTTATGCACTAGCCGTGTCCATTTTTAAAGTACCGTACCCATAACATTTGGGATGCATTTATCGCAGTTGGAAGATTCTTGTTTTGAATTTATTTATATAAGTATAAATCTAGCTATACCTGCTTTTTAAATATCAGCACGCCACTACCACTAACTTAGATATCTTCAGGTGCATTTAATATTTATGGTAGTAATGTGTATTTAGTTGTCACCTAACTGAATTGATGATAACCTGGCTACAAATATTCACTTGTATTTACAAATAATAATGCTTGTATCTGTACAGTTAATCAATATGCTGAGATGTGACTATCATCTTTTTTAACATGTGTCAGTGTTCACAATGAATTCGGTGTTACGTTAATATGTACTGTAGCTCGTTACTTTGCCAATAGTCAGTTGACATTAACTAAAAAGTGATTAATTTTCTGTCACCTTAATCTAAGATCGTTCATGTGATTACCATTTAGTCATGTTCATGCTGTCAAGGTTTATTTAGTGATCACTGAGAAGATGTACGTACTTTGATCGCAATGTTTGCTTATAATTGCACTAAAGAGACAAAGATATCATGTTCTTTTATATGTAAAATGTTGCTTAACCGAAAAGTATTATTCATGGTGATTAAAGAAAAAGGAATTTTGACGAATAAAATGAAAGGTGCAACATTCTGACTAACCAGCCAACACAGTTTGATTTAACTTTGGAAATTATTTCATGTTTATTCAGTGAATAAACTAAGTTTGTAGAGATGCATTCCAGTGAGTGATGATTCACTAGTTAACAGCGCAATAAATTCAGAATTTTAATAGTTGAGATCACGAGTCAATTGAAGCTAGATCACCATGGAAAACCTGGAAGCACTGGACGGCCGTTTCGTCCTATTATGGGATAAGCAGCAGTGCGTGTTCACGATCGCGCCTCGCAAGATTCGAACCCAGGATCTATCGGTCTCGCACGAGAACGTTTACCCTCTAGACCACTGAGCCGGCATCCAACGTCCAGTGCATCCAGGTTTTCCATGGTGGTCTAACTTCAATTGACTCATGACCTCAACTATTATAATTACTATAATATCCACAAAAACCTCTTCCAAATTATTAGAATAATATGATTAACGAGATTGTTTATTTTGTAAATCACTGAGGATAATTACCGGTGTTTATAATGATTAAAAGTAATTAACAAGTAAGCAGCATTAATGAAATATCAATATATTTATTCACGTTTCAGTAGAATGACGAATAAACGGGGTTAGACATTCATTAGCATGGGAAAATTTATTGAATTTACGCGCTAGAGAAGTAGGCACATTATGTGGGCAGAAATTGTTGAAGTTTGGACAGGGACTTTTATTATTATTATTATTATTATTATCAGAAAGGGGACTTTGTGGATATTATAGTAATTTTAATAGTTGAATTCATGAGTCAATTAAAGCTAGACCATCATGAAAAACCTGGAAGTACTGGACAGCCGTTCCGTCCTGGTATGGAACTTCTCAGCAGTGCGCATCCACGATCCTCCCTCGCGAAATTCGAACCCAGGACCTATCGGATTTTTTCTTAATATTACTACTGTTATTATTAATATCCCATTGTTTAGTTTAATAAAATCTTGTCCATCATAAAACTCAGACCACCTTTATTTGTACAAAATAATTTGCCCTAGCAGTGAATGTGCCATAGTAACCGTTAATCAGTTCAAAGCCCTAGAGTGGTGTGATAACTTACTTTTTTCGTATTACTGCAAATTTCTTCCCTCTTTTATTTTGAGTTATCATAATTGAACAATGAATCGTGGCGTCAACATGATTCCCGTTAGATATGTGTCGGCCAATAAATTCCCAAAAACAGATAGCTCTGTAAGTCATCGGCATTGATTCTGACTTCATTAGTAATACTGGACACACCTAGCTGAAAGAGCTCGATCATGCATCCGCACAAGATCACGAGTGGTTACACCGTGCTACTCATTCCTTGCTACTTCTCTCCAGCTTAGACCAAACGCTTCTCGACATATAGATAGCTTCCCAAGTATATGTTCAAACTCCTTCACTGCTGACCTCTGATTTGATTGGGCTGGTATACTTAGAATATAAAGTTATTACGTGTAAAGGCGTTAGTAAACTTCGGATACCTATGGCATCCTTATGTACAGCATTTAAGACAGATATACAACCTGCTTTTTATTAAAGTGTCTATCGGTAACTTTACATTAGGAAATGAATGTCTTCGGTCTTTAAGTTACATCAAGTTCTAAAGTGATGACGATAGGATGGAGGTGAGTTACTTTCTTAATTGACAATCATATAGTAACAGATTCATTAAGAGAACATTTATTTTGAAATGGTGAGTTACTCCTTTAAATAGTTGCTACATTCTTTTCCAAATATACGGGAATGTCGTTAGTGATTAAAAAGAATCGAGAATATGATGAATATATTTATTAAATCTATTGATAATACAAACTTCTTTCCCATCTTTTTTTTACTAATTGCTTAGTTCCGGTGGTTGTATGACCTAAATTTAAATTATTTACTTAACAATTAAGATCATACTTTAATGTTTATATTACTGGCCCAACAGGTTTATAGCAAGATGGAATGAATTTCAATATTTTTTGGTTGTTTTTGAGTTGCTAATGTGGTAACGTAAAGAGAACTTAGGGAAAAATGAAATTTGTATTGTTATGTTGCTGTCTAATATGTGTTTCTAAGGTAAAATGCTCTGAGTCAATCGCTGTAATGTAGTTGTTTCCTTAGCCACTGAAAGGAAACTCTGGTTTCACAGGAAGATCAACAAAGAAATCAATAGGCCAAAATCGACCAATCGATCTATCCATATGTGAGTTATTACCTATTTTTGTTTCCATTGTCAATATTAGTTCATTCTCGTACAAGTGCAGCAATGAGACTTTTTTTCTACTCCATCTATCCTGATGTCTTGAATGTGAGTTATATTATTCTTAAATTGATTCACTATTAAAGTTATCGAGAGTGTATGGTATGGACATCAATGACACTGTGACGCCAAAATGTTCAGATTTCAACAATGTGTTGGCGAATAAGATATATTTTATTATCTAGATTCACGTATTTATCCACATAACTCAATTTGATGATGAATATTTCATTACCATTAACTTCTTTTGTTTGTGCATGACACATATTTTTCATTAATGTACACGAAGTTTCATGGCTAAGTCCCTAGCGCTTTTATTTGTAGACATTATTTATCTGTTCATTTACGCATACAAGCTGTATGCGTTTGATGGATAATCAACATTTTGAAATAAATTTACTTTATGATATCAGATCTCCACTAATTCCTTCGTTCATATTGATTATTGGGACAGAATTCATGAAATTTCCCTTTGGGCCATTGTAGTGAGATGACAATCTTTATCTAATACAGAACAAAACTTCTGAAGAAATACACAGTTCAAATAATCTAATTGTAAATTCACCTTTCATGGCTTTTGGATGCGAAATTACGTAGGCTTTTTGTTGGGAAACAGTTGTAATAAACATACAATCATAATTGTGGTCAATTAATCCTAGAATAAAATGAAAGAACAATTTCCAAACCACAGAAAAAATCGGATTGCTTTTGAGACACATATCACATATCCTGTAATCAAACCTCAAAAAAGAACGGAAGAAATACGATGTTTCATTCTGCATAAAATAGGCTAGCTCTTAGATGGTTGGAGGTACATCACTTAACTTAAATTTTTAAGTTGACTATTGGAAGCAACTGACTTGTTTTATTTTATTAGACACAGACCACCTATTTCACACAACATCCTTGTAGTCAATCCTTCAGGAGATCTATAAGCTAATGTAAATACTGTCATATACGTAATTCTAAATTCATAGTCTCTGCCATATGTCATCTAGCGCGTAAATTATGAGGTGAAAGTGATATGACGGTTTGCATGAACCATCTTAAAACGTTTAGTGTTAAAGTTTAACGACCGCTATCTAGACGTCTTTCAAAATTTAAGTAAGGAACTTAATTATCTAGACTCATGTGAAAACAAGACCTTTCCTGCATCTTCTCGAGTTTATGGATGTGTTTTGTATTATTTCATATTGTGCGTTGAAACATCCATACTGTACCGAAATATACAGTAGTGAAAGTAATTGTTGAGACGATTATATATTATAATAATAGTGACCTGATGCAACAACGTCAGGAGGTGTCGAAATTTTAAATTTGACGGTACACAAGAAAAAATATTATAGTCCGGTAAAGCGATCGTTAGCTTAGATTGATGGACGTGACGCTAATAGTGCGGTTAATTGAGGGCTAGGTGGGACTGTCTGAAATATACTGTAGCAAAAAGTGGCGGGGATTGATAATTAGGTGTTAATAATTATCAGTGTCCATCAAAACGGGTAATATCAGGACCATAAAGCCTTTAGTTTTCGATATACGGTGTTGTCCAATTTGACCGTGTGTGAATTACTTGCCCACTAATGACATGTGAAGATGGTTGGGCAATATCGTGAACCGATCGAAATCAGATATATAAATCATTGGATGCCGTTTCAGTGGTTTGAAGATTAAGTGTCTGTTAGGAGAACTGAGGGTACTGGATCCTATAGCCCGTAGGGTCGGAGATGCACATGCCAGGATGAAGTGGCTGTCTAGCGCTTTCTAGTTTTCATTGGTTGTTCAACCAGAATCAGCCCGTGGTGTGAAATTTACAATTCACGTTTACTTACTAACCATTGGTTGTAAAAATGCAACTAATTATACTCCATCTCCTCTACTTATGCTGTCCACGTTTCCCCACATCTCTCAATTTTCCTAAACCTAGTTTTTTTAATATTCACCATATATTTAATTTGTAAGGGCTTTTGAGTTTCTCCGCCGCAACTATTCTTGAATGGAATTTGGTGGGTAATAGTTAGCATATTTACTTGCTGTGCGGATTGGCTCGATATTGCCATCGCGAAATTCATTCCTACATATTGCCAAACGGCATTTTGGCATCATATCTGATGTCAGTTCGTGATGATGACCCTTACTTTGATTCCTAAACCTAAATTCCAACTGTAGATCCTAATCCTAATTCCCCATATTGATTTGTAACCCTCTTTTGACACTAGTAAGTAGGGGAGATGTCTCAAGGTAGCCTTAGAGTCGCTCAAAGGTCATCCGTTAATTATAATCTCACCAAGCACCTTGTGTTGAACAAAAATACATGAAACGTTTTTACTACTAACTTTCACATCAGTAGTCAGTCAAATATATTCAAAATGTATAGACTTGAGACATTGTTGTTAAACTAATTGCAAAGTACTTATAATTTCCTTTTTATTTTTGTAAATGGAAATTTCTGTATTCAACATTTCCCCAGGAAATATACACTGAACATAAGGATTATTGATAATGAATACCTTGTTGTTAAATTACTTATACGGAAAGCTAACTGTATTAACTATATCCGAAGTTTAATTTTAGTTCACTTACAAACTTTTTATCTGCACAGGATTAATACAAAGCTAGAGAACTTCCGTATAATGCGTCTTACGCCACCGTTACACTGTGAATTTTATCTCATTTGTCATAATGAACAACATGTCAGGTAAAATAAATTGTACTTAAGAAAAAATCACTTTATTTGGAAGGAATAAACGTTTATAAAACTGTAAATTTAGAACAACATATATAAGCGAACAATATTGTTTTCTATTAGATCCTCATCAGGCTTTACTCTAATATACAATAATATTTATATGCATATACGAAATTATTAAACCAATCAAGGTAGTTTATAAGTCAATGATAACAATGGAAAAGATTACGTAATAAGTAAAATGTGAAAAGTACAAATTGATGGTGTGACAACAGGTGCATTAGTGCATTAGGAGGAAATAGATAACAAACTAAATTTTCCGGACGTTTTGTTAAGTAGAAAAGAAAATGGTTCTATCAGCAGGGGTGTGTATAGAAAAAGTTCTTCGCCAAGCCAATACACACATTTTTTAAGCTTTGTGCCTCTTCATTATAAGAGAAACTTAGTCAAATGTCTTGCAAATAGAGCTCTTAAGATATGCTCAGTCGACACTATTGATAGAGAATTACAACACATTCATAATATTTTGATTGAATTGGGATATCCACTGGGTTTCCTGAAGAAACACTTGTGCGTAAAAAACAGAAAAATAGTGACCCTGACGGCTAATAAGAAACCGCTTTTCTTGAAACTGCAATTCAATGGTGATTTGGCTAGCGATGTATTACGGGATAGATTGACTAGAGCGGTGAAGAGAACGTTTAATGCTGCCAACCTCTGCCTATCGTATTCGACCCGATCGATGGTGATTCCGCAATTGAAGGATAAGTTACCTGGTTGTTCCACTTCTATGTGTATCTACGAATTCAGCTGCTCCTGTGGAGAAAGCTATATTGGGCGCACTACCAGGCAACTGAACCAACGAGTTAGTGAACACCTCCCTTCGTGGTTAGGAAAAGGTTACGTCAAAACAATACGCAGCTCGGTTCTATCACACTTGATCGATAGCGGTCATATAGTGGACAGAAACAAGTCGTTCAAAGTTATTTATCGGATTCCCACTAGTTTTCCTTATGGTGTTCGATCTCGTCTCTCACACATAGCAGAAGCTATAGGAATCCGAGCCAACAAGCCAAGTCTTTGTGTTCAGAAGAAATTTGTAACTCCCTTATCTCTCCCCCGGCCTTAAGTAATAAGTGAATTCATTTATTTATTTATTCCTTTTCTAACTTTCTCTTCGTTTATTATTTTTCTTCACACCCTCCTACCACTTTATTTTCTCTCAACTATACGTTTCATGGTCCAATTATCTGAACATTTCTTATTACGTCATCTTATAATTTTATAATTGTTATCTCAGTTTCTATATTTTTCTAATCATTGACCTATTTCAGATTATGTAACATTGATTTGAACCTTTATTATTATTGCTTATCAAAAATTAATGCACCTGTTGTCACACCATCAATTTATACTTTTCACATTTTACTTATTATGTAATCTTTTCCATTGTTATCATTGACTTATAAACTACCTTGATTGGTTTAATAATTTCATATATGTATATAAATATTACTGTATATTAGAGTAAAGCCTGATGAGGATCTAATAGAAAACAATATTGTTCGCTTATATATGTTGTTTATAAAACTGTCAGTAAGTACCAGAAAGCATAAAACGTAGCCACAGAGTTGATCTTAAGTTTGAACCTTGAAATAAATGTCTATCACATATTTGGGAAGTGTGAAAATGTTTCACAGCATGATATCACTTTGAAAAAGCTATGGGTCCAATTTGTACAGAGTTTTGATTTCATCGGAAGTACTGATAATGCCTCTAAAGTCTGATTTATATATATAAGTGAAATGATTGTTATTTATGATAACCTATGTAACGTTCTTGCTAGATTGATTACATATATTGGTAAATTCAGTATTTCCAATATTGAAATACATTTTCAACTAGCTAGAATAAGGTTGCAAAAGTTAGACCAATAAACATTCAGTGAATTTAAGAATGAAGTTGCTCTTTGTTAAAGATATACATTAACTTGGGAGCAGAGGATAGTAGGGTATAGAAATTTTAAACTGTATGCAGCCACAACCATATCAGTAACGCAATCTAAACATTCAAGTCTCGTGGTGAATGCTGGATTTGGTGGTTCAAGTTTCCAAATTCACTCATTTTGTGATATAAAGTGGTATTGCCGAGTTCTTGTCTCACTTCTAACATTATTGGACTCTATCATGTTCATCATTAATAGGGACATTAATGCAGTCTGTATGAAATTTATTCTGTTTTCAAAGTCAACTCTAGCTAAGAATATATTCTAACTATTGCCTTGTGACAGTTGTATTTTTTGAGCTAGAAAAATGATTTTGACATTTTATGAATGCTTACAGTTTACCTGAATGTTATTATTGATTACGCATATAGCACAACATGAAACACATGTTAGTATGAGAGATTCAGGGAGATTATGATATGATATAGTTTGTATCACGGACTAACCCTAGATGGACAACCACTGAAAATTAGAAAATATTGGTAGTTGATTCATTCTAGTGTGGGTCATTCGGACACCGCAAGAGGCGCTTATCATTTGCACCATTATTTCGGCATCCAGCGATTGACTTAACTTAGATCAATGTAGGATATCGTAAAACCAATTGGGTTATT